CAACGGGAGATGGGCGGGTGTGGCTTGCAGTCCTCGTCGTGATATCTGACATGGCATAGAGGCTAGAGTATCATCCCCCATGCGACCCAGGCTCGACTAGATATCGCGACGAGATCTGACCCATATTGCTGACAGCTCCGGCCATCGGCCGTGCGCTTCCGGCCCGCCTGGGCGAATGGCATTTGTCCCGATGGAGAGTGCTTCTTGTTACCCAGGCCATCATCGCCCATCACCTCCGTGGCCTCACAGACGATAGGAACGTGACGAGCGTGCCTTCGCGCCGTTCGTTGGGGGCGCGAGAGGCGCTGGCAGAGCCCGCCCGTGTCAACGTTCTTGCTGCAACTGCCGGCGTCCGTCACTGGGGTAAACGCAGACTATTGGAGTGAGCAGGCGGGTGGGAAGTCATGCTCTCATGCCCCCCCTGCTGTGTGATCGTCCAAGTTCGGCGAAATTGTTGGTGATCGTCAGCCCCATTCGGAGGATTGATTTTTTTTCTGGCGCGGGAGAAGCCGGGCTACTACCATATGAGTGCAGTCGAACTGGGGGGCTTTGAATGTGCTTTCGTACGAACACCTCGTGTTTGCTTCACGATGCAGCTTGCCTTAAACCCACCAGTCGGGGATGTTCTCGTGGACAGGGACCGTCAACCGCTTTACGCGCCTTAGCTGGTCCCAGTGGGTTGGCTGCGCCGTTGTTCACGATTCTCAACGTTCCTTGTCCACTTAGTCTCGCTCGAATTGCCTCAAACTAGACCCCCTTTTCCCCCTTTCACTTTAGGAGCGCTTCTTGCCTTCCTTGACCCTGGAAGTAGAAGACACTCTTGGGACGAGGAAGACGAGGACGAGGAGGACTTGCTCCTATCGTTTTGGACGACAACCCGTCGCAAGTTTGTTGAATCACGTAGGGCACGTACCTAGTGCCAGTCCGCTTCTCCAACGTGGAGGCTAGGCAGCTGTTGTCTCAAAGTCAAAATCGACCGCCATCTTGGACAGCCGCCACCTCGCTGTGTCTGTTTGCCCGGTCGCGTGTTTGCCTTCTTTGGTATTTCCTTGCCAGCCGCCCTTGCGACGCGGTGTCTGCGAGCTTTAAGTTATCGTTGTGCCCAATGCCACCACACGTCGAGGCAACGCCAGGCACGAGTTGACGTTCCGCTACCGTCTTGTACTCTCGTAGGAAATCGGAGAGCGTACCGTCCCCCGATGTGGTCCGTATCGAAGCGCGGCTTCACGTGTACCAACATTCCCCGCCACCGTAAAGCCGAGCTAGACTCCTGAATGATGCCGATAGAAGAAGAGCACTTGCTCGCCACCTCCAAGCCCCCTAGGCTCTTGCCCGTTCTGGAATTGAGCCGTTTCGCGTCCAGCAGAAAGGCCGCTTTAGCCAAGCTCCAAGGATGGTGTAGTACATGGGAAGCTTTTCCTCCGTCACTTTTTCCATTCCCCGAGAGCGACGGCGTCGGACCGGTCCAGCAGGTGACAAGACGACGGCCGTACACCACACCTTCAGGAACGAAACCGCGGCGCTGGCCGCGATGGAGCAAGTCTGCAGTAGAACGACCTCAGAACCTCGGATAAAGTGCTCAGTATGGCCGTCAAAGTTGGAGGCTTGCAGATGGCTTCCACATCATCCTCCCGCCGGGGCATAGACGGTCTTCGGGAGGCTGAAGTTAAAAGCATGTAGCTACCTTAGGCCTGCCACTTGGCGTTGGCGTTGGCCCGAGATCTAGACAAGCCGTCCGAGGTATGTTTACAGAGGTAGTGTTCCTACTGCACTCCCATGAAGGAGGTAGGTACGACGAGATGTCGCCGACGCTGGTGGATTGGTCTGCCTCATGGTGGAATTCCCGAGCTACATTGAAGAGAAGAGCAGACGCCTGGTCTCGTCACATCCTGCAGGTGCTGGTAGGATCGCGAGTCGGACCGGTAGGAGCACGGAGCTGGGGTAATGGACCGAAAGGGAATGAAGAGGAAGACTGCATGACCTGTTACAATTCTTCTCATTCTCTTTGGCCCGGATTTTGCTCAAAATTACACTAGTCACTTACAGGCCCCCAAAACCACCCCCTTTTCCCAAAGAAGAAGATGCCGTTCTCCCTTCATTTCCAAAACCAACTACTCTTGTCATCGGTATCATTCTGTTGTCGTTGATCCTGCTTGTTGCCGCCTCCCGTCGAGAAGTTCGCCGACCAGGTGTAGTCGGACCGCCTCTCGGTCTGCCTGCCAACCTCTTCACCCTTTTCGTTGAACGTCGTTACTGTCTTTTTGATGCTGATGTTTCCGTTTCCGTTGTCGCGTTCCTGAGTCTCCTCCACCACCTTCCAGCCCGATGGGAGGCCTTGTGGTGAAAGGTCTCTAGTCGTTGAGCTGCTCTTGCCCGTCCCTGTCTGCCTCGACCCGCTGAACCGAGCCTTTCCCATGACCGAAAAGTAAGAGTCTTCTTCCGTTTCCCTGTTGTACTGTTCCTCCCCGAGCCGGTTCCGTGTCTCGCGCCCCGCGCCATCCGTCACACCCCGCACCATGGTTTTCTCAGCTTCCTTTGGCTCAAGTTCCTTTGAAGGGGTCTGGCTCGCGGCCGGGAGTGAGCGAGAGTCACGGAAAGGATCATCCTGTTCCTGCAGCCAGCGCTGCCACCTCTCGCTGATAGCTCCCTCGAGGACGTCAGATCTAGGTGCCCACCCATCCCACAGACCCTGGCGAGTCAGCTGGTGAAGCCATAGAATGGGAGGAAGTCCCCTGGGGAATTGCTCCCTCCACTCCTTCTTCACCCGGTGTCTTTCGTGGATGTCGGGCAGGCCTTGTCCACTGGTCACCATGAGCAAATCCTCAAAAGCGTCCTCGAAGCCAAACAAAGTTGGGTCGACGTCCGTCGGGAGATCCGTCGGTCTGGGCTGCGGCATGTCGCGGAGGGCCAGGGGCGAGTATGGGGATTCAATGAGAAATGAAATCCACATGGCCTGGTAAAGCGACTCAGTGAACTCTTCAGCTCTGAAGAGGGCCTGCATGGGCGACATGGCCGAGAACAGCTCAAACACGGTTGGCTGGGGGAATTGGGAGGATGGCGAACGAGGCTGGGGGCTGCCGCTGGCATTGCTGTTACCATTGCCATTGCTGTTACCATTGCCATTGCCGTTGCCATTGCCGTTGCCGTTGCCGTCGTCGCTCAGCGTGCGTTCATCTTCTTGGGGTCTAGGGGGCTCGGCCCAGCGACCGTTGTTGAAATTCTGAGTGACTGAAGTCGGGATGCCAAAGACACTGCGGAAAGCCAAGGCGATATGACCATCGACCTTTTGCTTAAAGCGAACGAAGACGTTGTCGGAGGGATCGTTGTCGGGCATTTTGCATGTATGTAGATGTAAATGAGGCTCGTCGGCTGTCTTGGGCGAGATTTGGATTTCGCGGTCGGTATTGTCTCAGTTGATGAGTGGGCGTGTGAGCGCGAGCGCAAAAGGGACGATATGTATGTGTGAGTTTGTGTATGTGTGTGTGTGAATACACAACTGAGCTGAATAAGTGCAAGCAATCACGGAAGAGATCCGGACGCGAAAGAGCACCGAGGTCTAGATATTCATGAACAGCGGGTTGTCGGGTTGATGGTCTGTTTGAGGTCGGGACGACAAGACATGAAATCTCATGGATATGACGGAGTCTATCGGGTCAGATCAGCTCACCTGGTGGCAAGCTGCGGCGGCGGGGTGAGAATGAGAGTCCAATGGGATGGCAGTTGAGATTCGGAGCTTCAGATGGGCCGAAAATCCCCAACAAGTCACGAGCGACGGGAGTATGGGAATTGGCCCAGGCCCGGGCCCAATGAGAAGACACTGGAATTCTCGAGCAAGTGACTGGACGGCACCGCACTGGAACACTCGTGGAAGCCCCCTCTCCGCTCCTGAAAATAAATGCGCCGGGTGACGGGACTGGGAATGGGCCCTGTCGCTGTCGGCCTGGGTGGTCTTCCACTGGGCCTGAGCCACCACCAGTGTGCTGCTATGAGCACTGACCAAGTGGCACCCTCCAGCACGTGCGGTGACGACAGGTCCACGTTCCAATTGGGCGTATCCGTACGAATACCAGCCTCAGCCAGAATGCCAGCGGACCCGTTGGCCCGGTCGCTTCCGACGCCACACCTCAGCCAGCAGCTCAGCGGGAGTTGTGAGACGGAATGGAAGTGAAGGCCGGGGTCTCGGGCGCCACGAAATGACAGCATATTGCCGTATAGCTGAAGACCCCACACGTGCTGAGCCACACTTTATAGCACCCAGGGCCCTTTCGCTTCGGGGGCCTGTGATTGAATGTGGGACGTGCCTGCTGCCCAGACCCGCGTCAGAGTCGGGTCGGTCCTGGCTTGCCGACCGATGCGTCGAGTGTCGGACCCAGTCCAATGTCTAATGCAGCGTGTGTGCGTGTTGCGTTATGTGTGTGAGAGGAAGCGGGAAACTTGCGGAGGAGCAGCAGCAGGAGCAGGAGCAGCAGCAGCAGCGAGGGCAAACGACAACCAAACGTCAGGTCCTTTCCTTCACTTGTGCTCGCTCGGCTTCCGTCACAGCAAGCGCAAGCTGGGTAACGCGGCCTCAACCTTTTGGCCATTAACCACCGTAACGGCTAATCCCACTTTGCTTAGACCATTTCCAACTCAATTTTCCTTCCCTCTGGCAATCTCCGTCCTGCTACCGCACATCCTCATGGCTGGCTACATCCAACATTTGCGCTACATATCCTAGGTTTGCTTGACTGCATCCGTTCCTTGCCGACTCCTCCGGTGCATTTCGTTACCATTCGTTGCGGCTGCCTCCTCGCCGTCCAGATGATACGACAGCTGCCCGAGTCCAACAATATCCGCCGCGCTTGGATGCCGGGCGAATCATCTTCTGGCGCCGTCGTCATTACCCGCAGCCTTGCTTAACTAGCACCATTTTCGCATCGCAGCTCGACAAAAACAGCTTGTGAAACCCGCCTACAAACTCACCTTCTGCTTTCCTCCCAAATCCCCCTCACGCGGTGGACATGGTACCCTCTGTGGTGATCGCCGCCGACCCTGCGGCACGACCGGGCCATGGCGACGGCGATGGCGGCAAGGACCTCCAGAACTGGTCCTCGCTAATCGGCATCATCACGGCCATTGTTGGCAATATCCTTATTGCCCTAGCCCTCAACGTCCAGCGATACGCCCACATCAGATTGCACCGAGAGCGCATTCGAGTCCGTCGGAGAGCAAAAGAAGCCTTGAAACATGCGAGCGGAGGCCCCCCTGGCGTCTACGGCACCGTGAACATCGACGACAGCGACCGCAGCCGCCTCGATGGACATCAAGAAAACGGCCACAACGATGCCTCCGAATCCGAACCCCTTACGAGATCCTTCCGCTCCGAGGAGTCCACCGGTTCCGACTACTCCGGCGACGACGAAAAGGCGCCATCTACATATCTCAAGTCGCCCTATTGGTGGATGGGCCAAATTCTGATTACGTTGGGCGAGCTGGGCAACTTCTTGGCGTACGGCTTCGCGCCCGCTTCCATCGTGTCGCCCCTGGGAGTCGTTGCGCTGATTTCCAATTGCATAATCGCCCCGATACTGTTCAAGGAAAAGTTCAGGCAGCGCGACTTCTGGGGTGTCGTTATTGCCGTCGCCGGCGTCGTCGTTGTCGTCTTGAGCGCCAAACAAGAAGAGACAAAGCTTGACCCCCACGATGTTTGGGACGCTATCACAACGTTGGAGTTCGAGATCTACCTCGCCGTAACAGTGTCGTTGATTATTGTTCTCATGTGGGCGAGCCCACGGTATGGCCACCGGACCATCTTGATTGACCTTGGTCTGGTCGGGCTCTTCGGTACGTAGTTCAGTCACGTTCAACAGTCTTCGCAATGCTAAATGAGGCGCTCCGTATCTAGGCGGCTTCACGGCTCTATCCACCAAGGGCATATCTTCGATGCTCTCGTCGACCCTTCTTGGGGCTTTCAAGACCCCTGTTACCTATGCGCTGCTGTTTACTCTCCTGTTCACCGCGGTTATGCAGGTTCGATACGTCAACAAGGCTCTACAGAGATTCAGCTCCACTCAGGTCATCCCCGTTCAATTTGTCTTGTTCACTCTTTGCGTCATTGTTGGCAGCGCAGTCTTGTATCGAGATTTCGAGAGGACCTCGGCCGAGCAGGCGGTCAAGTTTGTTGGTGGTTGTTTCTTCACCTTCTCCGGTGTCGTTCTCATTACTAGTGGGAGGGTCGAGGAAGACATTGAAGATGGTATGTCCGACGTTGATGGTGTGGAGGAGACTATCGGTCTCGCCGAGCAAGATCCCGCACAACCACCCCAGCCGTCATCAACCTCAATCCCGTCACCGAAATCACGACGCTCCTCAAAAACCTCTGTCGGGTTTCCCGCAGGGAATGGCTCCAAGCCGTTCAGCATGCAGCATGATTCCGGTATTCCTTCACTCCGTGTCCCGACCGCCGCGTCAGCAGGGAACCTTGTCAATACAGAGTCCGAGCCCCTCCTCACCAACCCGTGGAGCAATTCTGCTGAAGAGGTTCTCCCTCCCCCAGGCACACGGACCATATCAGATGATTCTATTGCCACTTTCCCAGGTCTTGGGTTTTCTCCTTCAGAGCCAGTTACGCCGATGTACGATGGGCAACTGCAGCCCGGGTTTCCCACGGATCGACCCGTCACTCCTCGCCCATCGCTACCCAGCCAAAGACCTCACAGCCACCAGTTTACAGGACCACTGTTCTCACCATCCCCGTTATCGTCTACCGTCAGCGCAGTCGTCAAAGACACTCTGCTTAGGAGCACGGAGAGCCCTTTGATGCGTAGGGCATCTGTGAGAAGGTTAAGATCCAGTATTCGGGCAAGTCTTTTCATGCCGGATGACGCCGAAAATGCGAATGATGAGTCGGAAAGACAAGATTTGTTAGGCCAGTCTCACGGGGATGGGGGTCCCCCTGAGCGTACTCGAACAGCAGGCGAAGGTGTGCCCAGAGAATACCCGACTGGCAGGCCACGAAGCCTTAGCGACACTTTGGGTGATTTCTTCCGGGTCAAGAAGAAGAGAAGGGATACGAACACGGACGCAGAAGAGGAGGTATGAAAGAGCAAATATTCTAAGTGCGGCAAGGAGTTTCGGGTACACGTCTCAGTGTCTATTGGATTTTCATCAGGGCCCAAGGCTCGGGAGGTATCATTACTTACAAGCATTGCATGTTGGCGTTCCTGGTAGAGTCGATACGGGTATGGTATACCATCCACTGTCTATCGTTTTCAGGCGTGCGGGATCAGGATTGGGGAACTTGGTTGGATTTCTTCTTGTGTATAGACACGCATTAATACTCCCATAGGCACAGGGGTTTTTGGCACAAATGGGATGGATCCTGCCTCTCCTGTTCTTGATGATGCATACCCTCGTATTCTTCGCAGCGCGTAAATGACTGACAAGTGCACTGTTGTCATCCGCTAAATGACGAGAACCAAGAATTCGAAATTGACAACGTAACAAACAATCGAGCTTTTGGACTTCCGGTGTAACATACGAGCCTCTCTGTTGCTGAAGTCGCAGCCCACAACCCATTATTAACATATGTCGTACACGTAGATTTACGCCTTTCCTCTGCCGTCAGACTTCTTCTTCCTCATCAGGCGCTTTCTCGCAATCAACATCGGCTTTACGTCTTCGCGAGCCACACCTGACTTCTTTCCAGCACCTGGGGTCTCCTCCTTAGCCTCCTTCTTGATGTCTTCCTTGGGGCCCTTATTCATGTTGCCATTCTTTCCCTTTTTGCCCTTCTTCTTCAATGAGGCCATCTTGGGGAGTTCTTTGCCCTCGGCCTCGGCGTCCTCGGCCTCGCCGCCCTCCTTCTGATCGTCTTGGTTCTTCCTGTTTCGGTCCAGGTTCTTCTCGGCGGCCTTGCGTCTGGCAACCACCGAAGCGTTCTCAATGGCGAACTCAACGATGAGCCGCTGCTTCTTGCCATTCTCGTTCTCCAGCTGGTAGCCGTTGAGAACGCGCAGACCCATCAGCGCCCAACGATGGGATGAGTACTCAATAAAGCCGTACCCACGACTTCTGCCGCCCGCAGCCTCTGTAACCTTGGAGCCTTCGCGACTCTCATACTCAATCTTGGCTTGGCGGACGATACCCTTCCGCTTCAGCTTGCGCTCGTGCTCGGCGTCCTTGGCTTCCTTTGCACTCCTGACCTTTTCTTCCTTGGACAGGGGCTGGCGTTTACCCTCCTTGACGTCTGTAGCAAACTCGACACAGGCCTTGCGGGCCAGCTCCTTGAGCTCCTTGGAACCAATGTCGCGCGGGATGTTGCGGACAGCCAGACGGGTCAGACTGATGTGCAGTGTAGGATTGCTCTGCACGAGCTTCTTGCGCTGATTGGCACTCTGCTCCCTCATCTTGATTTCAGACGGGGTCAGTCTCTGGTACAAGGCTGATCTCGTATCGATTTGACCCTCGTTCAACAGGAAGAGACGACGCTTGTCCTTTTCACGTCTCTTCGCGCTGCCGTCGGCAGCCAGGCGCTCGGCATCGTCCTTGCTGACTGCCTGCGCGACTTGCAGTAGTCTACTCTCAAGGGTGTACCGACCGTCCTGATCAGCAGTCTCGTCCTGCAACACAGAGTGTTTAGTTGGGAGGGCGCTGGTCTGCGTACGCGGCGCGCCCTTGATGCAGGCTCGCGCGTCCTCTTCCTTGACGAAACAGACGAATCCGGTACCGGCCGGGCGGTCAGTCTCCCGGTCTTTGACAACACGCGCATACCTGACAGGGCCGAATTGGACGAAATGTGTCTTGAGCTGCTCGTCGGTAACAGTAAAGGGAAGATTTCTGATGAATATCGTTGATTGGTTGCCGGTTGATGCCTGCTTTTTGGGAGCGGAGTCCTTCTCTTCCTCCTCCTCGTCACTGAAGTCCTCTTCGTCCGACAGCTCGTCTTCATCTTCGTCCTCTTCGTCTTTGTCTTCATCGTCTTTGTTGTCATCACTCTGCGGCTCGTCCTCCAAGTTTGCTCCGAAAGTTTTCATGAAATTCTCCAAATCGGCGTCCGCGTCGTTGGGATCTTCGTCATTCTTGGAGCTAGATGCCTTCTTCTTTTCCTCCTTCGCATCATTCTTCTTCTTGGTCTTCGGCTTCTCGTCCCCCTCAGCGTTTTTGTCGTCCTTGTTCTGCTTCTCCCACTCGCTCTTATCGACAGCCCAGTCAACGGCAATGGGCCTTCCATCAATGACCTTTCCATTCAGAGATTTCAGGGCAGTCTCGGCATTCTTTCGTCCCCTGAGGGTGACGAAACCGAATCCCTTGAGCTTGCCCTTGTTTTGGGGAAGATCGGCGTATTTGACAATGCCGTAGGCGCGGAAGAGGGCGGACAATTGTTCGGAATTCTTGATCGTCCACGGGAGGTTGCGAATAATCAGCTTAGGAGGTTTTCTAGCCTCCTCGAGCGCTTGCGTACGCTTTTGCTTCTCACTAGAGGCGGCTGCGCCGACAACGCTGTCCTTGTTGTCGCGATGTCTGGCTTCGGCCAGATCGATCCTGATACGGCGGCCCTCCCAGAGAGAGTTGTTGAGCTTCTTCTTGGCATCATTGGCATCGTCGGCATCTGTTAGGGTAACGAAGCCATAACCTCGAGATGCCTTGGTGGTCGGGTCGAGGACAACGGTCGCATGCTTGACAGGGAAGTGCTCTGAGAAGAAGTCGGTCAGAGATTCGCTGGTGGCGTTGGCAGGGAGAGACCGAACGAAGAGCGAGCGATTGGCTTCCACGCGTGCTTTCTTGGATTTCGGTTCCGAAACGGCATCTGCTGCAAGGTTCTCTGCAACAGCGGCAGCGACGAGCGCATCGTGCTCATCCTCCTCGGCGCGAGTCCGCTTCAACGGCTTAGCGGGTGACGACATGGCTGTGAATCTTGCGAAATCCAGCAGCAATGGGTGTCGGTTGGAAGCAGGAAAGTATTTCGGGTGGATGTCCGTGAGGTCGAGGAAAAACTGAGAGCCTCTCTACCTTGCACAGGTGGCTGGCTGTGATCGAAGCTGCTCTAGATTTGCGATAAGCATTTTTTTTCTTCTTCGGGGTCCAGCTTATCAGCACGTGCACGTTTGACGTGGTGTCTGACGGGCGGGGATGAGCGACCCCGCGCTATACCTGATTTGGAAGTCTATTGACTTACTTGTTGCAGACTGGATAAAAACAAAAAGACGCGCCAGGGGGTCGCCCACTGTAATTGTGTGCATAAGGTGCGTTGGCAGCCATCTCGTGGTCGGGGGCCGTCTGTCGTAGCCCATCAATCAACAACACATACTTTTTCTTCGTCCTCATTAACTCTTACAGCTATTTTTGCGTCCCATGTTCCCCCAAGAAATCGCCGGCATCTGACGACAACCGACAACCCAAGATGCCTGCGCGAGTCTCTACAAGATCCACGCGGAATTCGGCCGCCGTTTCCAACAAATCATCAGCCGCGACGCTCGGCTCCCGAGGATCAACAGCGTCGCGATCCTCCTCTCTCGCGCTCGACGTCCCGACCGAAAGACCCGACAATGAGCTTCGTCCCAAGATATGCGCCGTCTTCAGGGATGCGCAGAAAAACACTGCGTCTCACCGCAAATTGGTGGTCACCTTGCGTAAGATCCAGGAGGCCTGCGTCTACGAGCCCACCAGTCTGAACAAGTCAACCTCGAACGACTTCGATGAGGAGGCTTTCAACTCCGAATTCGTCCGCTGCGTCCTCAGGGTTATGCCTATCAAGAAGTCGGAAGGCGTTGGAGAGAAGACTGTCAGGTTTATTGGGCATTTTCTCAGACATGCGAACGACAAGGACTACGAGGTGCTGGGCGAGCTTGAAGAGGATGCTAGTACCATGCACGACACTCCCAGCACCAGGCTCCTCGGCTTTCTCATGGAGACGATCTTGCCACTTCTCACTGCAAAAGACAAGTTTGTGAGATACAGATCGACCCAGCTGGTCTCGCACATCATCAACTCCCTCGACTCCATCGACGACGACGTCTTCCAAAAGCTCCGCCACGGCCTTTTGAGGCGGATCCGTGACAAGGAAGCTATGGTGCGCGCCCAGGCTGTTCTTGGTCTTGGCCGTTTGGCTGGCAACATCGACGCAGCTGCGCAGTCCGACGACGACAGCGAGGACGAGGCGTCTGGACTGCTCGAAAAGCTACTGGAGGTTCTGCAGAATGACCCCAGCGCAGACGTCAGAAGATCGCTTCTCATCAACCTTCCTATCGCACCCGCCACTCTTCCATACTTGCTCGAGCGCGCTAGAGATCAGGATGCTGCCACTCGTCGAGCTGTGTACTCCCGCCTGCTACCCGCCCTCGGCGATTTCCGTCATCTTTCTTTATCTATGAGAGAGAAGCTCCTCAGATGGGGTCTTCGTGACAGAGACGAAAATGTTCGCAAGTCGGCCGGCAGGCTCTTCCGCGAGCGTTGGATCGAAGACTGCGCCGGCGTCGCACCGCCTGAAGATGGTGCCCAACCTGAGCCGTCGCCTCCCAACTTTGATGGCTTACTTGAGCTACTTGAGCGAATCGACGTCGTCAACTCTGGCGTGGAGAACGGAGTCGCCCTAGAGGCGATGAAGGGCTTCTGGGAGGGCCGACCCGATTACCGGGAGGCCGTAACATTCGACGACCATTTCTGGGAGACTTTGTCTGCCGAGTCGGTCTTCATGGCCAGAAGCTACAATGAATTCTGCAGAAACGAAGGTAATGGCAAGTTCGAGTCTTTGGTCGAGGAGAAGCTCCCTGAAGTGACTAAGCTTGCTTTCTACCTTGAACGCTACATCAGCGTTCTGACTGAAGCCATCAAAAAGGCCTCGCAAATAGGGGGAGCAGAAGATGAGGAGGAAGACACGGTCGAGCAGGAATTCATCGTCGAACAACTCCTCCACATCGCCATCACGCTCGACTACTCGGATGAAGTTGGCCGACGTAAGATGTTTGCACTTCTTCGCCAGTCGCTTTCTGTACCGGAGCTCCCGGATGAAGTCACAAAGCTGACTGTCAGTGTTTTAAGAGACATCTGCGCGCCTGACACAGCCGGTGAAAAGGAGTTCTGTTCAGTCGTTTTGGAGTCCGTTGCCGACGTTCACGATACCATCGTGGACGACCCTCCTGATGACAAGACCGAGGACAGCTTCCACTCAGCAAGATCCGAGGTTAGCGGCGACACCACGCCCACGCGAACCGGCAGCCGTGGGAAAAGTCCCGAGCTCAGCGAGGAGGAAGCCCGTGCCAAGGCCGTCAAGGAGATCATGATCAACATGAAGTGTTTGCACATTGTGCAATGCATGTTGTCCAATGTTGCTGGCAACCTGCAACAGAACGACCACTTGGTCTCCATGTTGAATAATCTCGTTGTTCCTGCAGTCCGAAGTCACGAGGCTCCTGTGCGCGAGAGAGGTCTAGTCTGCTTGGGTCTTTGCTCTCTGCTAGACAGATCTCTCGCCGAGGAGAACTTGACGCTCTTCATGCACTTCTTCACCAAGGGCCACACCGCGCTCCAAATCACTGCTCTGCAGATTCTCACCGACATTCTTAACGTTCACGGAGCTCAGCTTCTTAGCTCGACACCCACGCTGCTAAAGGTGTACATCAAGGCTCTCAAGTCTGGAACCAAGTCGCCTGAGGTCCAGGCTGCCGCTACCTTGGCCGTATCCAAACTGTTGCTCGGACGCGTTGTTACTGACACCGAAGCCGCAGCAGAGATGCTCAAGACCCTGGTCGTTCAATACTTTGATCCCGCTACCGCTCACAACCAGAGTGTCAGGCAAGCTCTCAACTACTTCCTGCCCGTTTTCTGTTACTCTCGAGCCGAAAACCAGGATCTCATGCGCTCTGTGGCCTTGGATGCTTTGCACATGCTGGTGAATGTCCGCGAGAGCTTGGAAGACGACGACGCCGACGTGGATGAAGACATGGAGAGTCTGACAACCATCGGCGCCTGCTTGGTGGACTGGACGGACCCCCGCAAATGCTACAACCCGGCCCAGGGGCTCGAGCTGGAGAAGAAGACAGTCAACGGTGATATTCATTTGGAGTTTGCCCTGGACATTTTGGATCGTCTGAACGGAAACATGAGCAGTACGTTATTCGATCTAACCCCCTCTAAGTTGGAACTGCATTATACTGACCCCCACTTCAGAGGCAGAGAAGAAAATTGTAGCACCGCTCCTTGGCAAGCTCTACATTTCCCCAACCAGCACGGAGGAGAAGATCAGAGAAGTGTACGATGAGGTCTCGATCGCTGTGGACGATAGACTCATCACGGACACGACTGGCCGGAACGCCCTGAACAAGATCCACGTGAGTTTGGGCAAGATTGTCGCCACCCTCGGCGAGCAGGAGGCAGAGCCTCGTCGCGCAAGCAGGAGCGTGTCCGTTGTCTCTTCTGTAGCACCATCGGTGGCGACATCGTCGGCATCTAAGGCCGATGATGGCGACGGCGACAAGACCATCACCATGGAGCCACCGATTAAGGAAGAAGACGAGGATAGCAATGAGGGCACTGTCATCCAAAGATCGGCAGAAAACTCATTAGTGAGCGAGCTCCTGTCGGACGAAGAAGGCGTTTAAACTTGATGACGTTGGTTAATGACTTACCCCTGGGATGTGGGATGAAAGAGCTTCATGGAATGATATTATACAAGGACTGATGATCTATGTACTACTAATGATGACTCCTTGCGGAATCGACGATTCTTGATTCTTTTGATCAACCTCGCACGCGACCGATTCCAATTGTCTTGCGTATTCAGTACGTCGCACCTAGCTTGTACAACAAGCCAGCAACTGCTACGTTGATGGCCAAATGCTGCCCGATGCTCCACGCCATGCTGTACAGATATTTGGGCGAGAAGACGGTCCAGACGAATAAGTGGGTCCTGAGAACCTCGCAAGCAACCATGACGAAGAGAACGCTGCACGCCGTGAACAGCGTCAGGTGGCCTACATGCTGCAGGAAGACGTTACGGCTGTTGTGAAGCTTGCGGTATCGGAGGAGGAGTAGGTTTGTGGCGGAGGTCCAGTATACTGGCCCTGCCCAGTTGCTGACGAACGTCAGGATGCCCACTGCGACGACGTTGAAGCCCGCAACGCCGTTGTAGGCGCTCGACAGATCAACGGACGAGATTGCGTTTGTGCCACCGAAAGCGAAGAAGGATGTGAATTGCAGCAGTATTGAGGACGTAGATAGCGTGGGGAGATCGAGGCCGAGAGATGAGATGAAGGCTAGCTGAACGTTGAAGAGGAGAAGCAGAGGGATATTTGTTACGCGGGATTGGGTTGCCACCAAGAGGGTGATGAGGTGGTGGAGAAGTTTTGCTGTTTTTTTGTCAGGGTTGGATGGGGTTTGCGTGAGGCATGCGATTGCTTACCTGTCTGAGCCGCCTCACTTGGTTTGGAGAGGGCAATGTAAGTAGAGTACCCTGCGAGTGCACCGATACCAACGAAAACGATTCTGGCTCTGGTCACGAGGGTCAGGCCTTGGAGAGCGACGTTGATGGCGGCCGGAATGCCGGTCACAAGCTCTGGCGAGTCTTCATGCGTGAAAGCTAGCTTGAAAGAGAAGGCCGAGAGCACCACCATGCCGGAGGCTGCGGCAGATGCGACAGCCGGCATGCCACGGAGTCTTCTCGTTAGCTGAGAAAAGTTCAAGAGGTAAGTTGCGCCCACGAGCGTCCAGAGTAGGGGTGGATTTGTTGTGACAAAGGTCTTGACAATGTCGGGTTCGCCAGCATGCTTTTGTCCTGTCTGATTCCACCCACGCACCAGTCTGGTGGCTGCTGAGGCGAGTAGAAATAGACCGATGGTCTGCAGAGGCTTGTGGGTGCTTCTGGCAAGTCAGAATTGGAAAGAAGACGGATGAATAACACTTACGTCTGCATGTTCTTGATGGCCAGTGAGCCAAACCAGGCCGACGTGAACCAATACCAGAAATGTTGCTCCTCTTCAACGTAGCTGCTGGCAAACATCATAATGCCATAGGAAATGGAGACGACTACCAGGGGAATGAGACTTGTCGTGACAGCAAATAGCAGGGAGCAAGTGATCAGGGCCATCAGGGCCTCGCCTAGGTGCAGCCTGCCCATGTCGTAATTGCTAGCCATGGTGCTCATCAGATCCTGAGCTTTACTCAACCACTGTGGATAGTTAGAAATGAGACCGGCGGCATGAGGGTCCGCAACCCACCTTGGACATGGCCCTGAGCCAGGCTTGATCCAGCTGCTCACTGCCTCCCATGGCCTTGAGCCCGTCATTGACTCTATGCCATTCGCACGCCAGTTCTTGCGCGTCATCCTGGGGATCCGCGCATGCCTTTTGTGTTGACGACGACTCAGTATCGAACATGCTCGTGCCAAACGTCGCCGTAACAATGTTCAGGATTTGCCGAGCATTGCGAACAAGCAACTGGATTTGATCGTTTTCTATGTCTCATAAGCATTCGTCGGATGACTGAGTGTCTGTTTTGGGGTATCCACGCTTACTATTCGACCAGAATGGGAGGAAATCGGCAATGAAGGCGCCCAAGTTGTTCTGCGGCACGGGAAACCCTAGCAAGGCCGCCAGAGTCGGCGCGAGATCGGATTGCTCGACCTTGGTGTAGTACGAGAAGTCCTCCTGGAACTTTACAGGCGAGTTCAGGCTGCGCTGTAGTGTCCTGAGCTTCGGTGAGATGAAGACAAGGGCAGGAGATGTCTCTCCAGGGGATGAGGCGCCGTGGTTTCCCGCGTCGTTCATGCCGTGATCTCCACACAGTACCAATAAAGTTGAAGACATGTGATCATATGTCTCCATGGCCTGGAAGAGATGCTTGACAATGTCGTCCATCTCCTGTTGTTTGGGGACCATGTGTGGGCTAGATCTTTGTTAGTGGGCAAGAGACCGGGCCGGCGGCGATGTCTCACCTTCGAGGTCCCGATTTGTGACCAATATGGTCGAGACCAAGATAATGCAACACCAGTGTGTTCCAATCATCCTTCTCCAGCTCGGTGTCGATGTGTCTTGTGACATTATTGTCGACCTCCGTAAAGTCCTAGATGGTGGTGTTAGATCCACATCTCATCAGTATTTGTGGCAGCGCCTACCGAAACGAAAAAGCTCGAGGTGCCGTCGGCGCGGTCAAAGGTCTCTGGGAACAGCTTGAGCCATGTGTCGTCTCCATACATGACCAGCTTTCCCGACTGTTTGGCCTTCATTTGCGCCAGCCACGTGTCCTGGGCGGCGAGAGTTGAAGACGTGTCTGCCTCATCAAAGTTCAAGATGACATCCAAGAAAGACGGGATGGAGCCGGTGGTGATTGCTTTGATCCTGGGCATAGTGATGGTCGGTGACCTGGCATTGGCAGTAAAGGGAAGAGCAGCACCATTGCGAATCAACCTGACCCCTAGTCAGCCATAGCCATGTGAGGCGACGAAATTCATGAGGGGTGTACATACTCTTGGGTGTATGTGAATCCAGTACCATCCGCATAAACAAAATCGCTTCTCGACCGTTAGCCCAATCCAAAGATTATCAGGCCCACCGATCTACTACCTTCGCAATGCATCGACGAGCATGAAAACGAGTCGATCAAAGGGCGCCTTTGGTGGCGGGCCATACTCCAGGGTCTCATAACGAGCCAGACCTGGAAGCACGGGCTTGTATGGAAAGAAACCAGTCGCGAATATGAGAATCGCCACGGGAATCAAGACATTGGCGATAGTGAGTTGGGTGGTCAGAAAACGCGGGCCATAGCGAAAGGACATGGTCGTCGCGTATCCATCAAGGTAGCCAATAGATTCGTTCGTTCAGGCCAGAAGGGTGAAGGGGAGAGAAGGTTGCCGATTAGGTGGTCTTTGCTGTGAAGGCTTCGAAGGAGACGGTTTCATAGCTTTCTAGTCTGGCGTCTGGTCATTGAACCATGGTGCACAGTAGGAGGATGAGTTCGAGGCACGAAAGGTGAAAGACAGATCGGGTGTTAGCGAAGCGGCGCGGTCGCTGTCCTCCAAGGTTGTTCGGGATCGTCGAGATCCTAATTGGGTAAAGCAGGTATCCAGCAGACAGGTTAAGGTAGGTAATAGCTATGCAATTGTTGGGCTGGCAGCTGAGGACACTGTGACGGCTCTAGCACAGGGATGAGACGCTCAGCCGAGTAAGGGAAATTGCGCTTGATGATTGGCTGAATACGCTGGTCAAAGTCCGAAAGTCCCGTTACAACAATTAGGCGGCCCCGGCCGATGCAGTGAAGAGGCGCATCGTTCGCTCAGTTCATTCCAATTGTCTTGAGGGATGTCTCGAGATATTGCCGCAGAGTGACTCGAGTTGAGTCTCACATCGCTGAAGGCCTCATGTCCCATTCAATGTTGCAAATACAATGTGATAACTTTTAAGTGCCCAAATCTCGACCGACGGGTGAAAAACCATTAAGCCGAATACCAGCAACCATCCGTGAGAGAAGGAAAAATAAAAAATGAAAATTGAATCCCTGCCCACCAACTCCGAGAAATGGGGAAAAAACAACAACAAATCGATGTTGAGAGACCCTGCGCCGGCTGTCACTTCCTCTCTTTTCGGCGGCAGACAGCCTGGGAACAAATCCTGCTATGCCAGGAGAAATGGCAACCTAGTGTCGCGTCACGATCAGGCCTTCTTCTTGGAGCCTCCGCGACGGTCCTTGTACTTGGGAAAGACAATCTTGGACGACTTCTTCTTCTGAATTCTACCGGATCTGCGACGGGGCTTTGCAGAGTCCACGTCCATGCCTGGGAATTGAGTCAGGATAAGTTTTCCTTAGTAGATGCTTGAGCAGATTGAGGCGGCTCACGGGTGTCCTCAGTCTTCTTGGCTTCTTGCTCCTCATCGGGGTTGATCTGGGCTGGGGTTTTTTCAGTGTCTGCTTGATTCCAATTGACCGAGATACTCACCATCGTCTTGTTCGTCGGTGTCCATGTTGATATCTGCCTCCTTTTGGGGCTTGGGCTGTTTCGCTAATTCCAGCAGCTTGGCTGAGAGGCGCTCTGCTCTCGCCGCCTCAGCAGGGCCAAAGACATCCTTCTTGAGTCTTTGGTTGTTGTTCTTCTTGACACTAGATCTCGAGCTCTTGGCCATGGTTTCGACGTGTCCTTGAAGGGAGATTTTCTGATGCGTTGAGGTGGTGATGTTTGGTGTTGACCTGCGTGGGAAATTTTGCACAAAGCGACGGACGCCCCGCCTGCCGTTCTACGATGCAGGCAACCAGCAATCACAATCCCTGGATGAGCAGCCATTCGCGGGGCCTGCCGACTACAGCCACCCCACTTTAAGGTACTAAGGGACCTTCTGAAGTTCTGTCACAGGCGGGGTGACCCAGGGAACCTAAGATAGGTACTTGCTTCAGGCGCTGGGCTGCTGGAACAGTCTTCCGTTAGGGGAGGCACGCCGCACAAGGCACTGAAACAGCGGCCGCCGCTCGCCTGTAGATATCACCGGTGGTGCTTACCTAGATAGGTACCTTAGGTACCTTAGTTACATTAGCTACCTAAGGTACCGTCGCTGGTCGCGAATGACATCAAACTCGACTGCCCAGGCTGCCGACCCGAGAAAACACCCACTGGCCGCCAACCTTACTGACCTCACCTCACTTCAACTCGCCCTCCCCGTCTTACTCCATCTGCGGCTCTTCATAGCCTAGGTAGGTACCGTACTTTGCCTTATGTACCTTCCTGGCCACGACTTTTCCTTCACTTCCCGTCAAGCACCATCCGTCATTACCTACCAGACTGGGTCTTCTGGTCTCGCTTCCTTGCTTCCTCGCGTCAAGCAAAAACAAAAACCCTCTTGGGCATTGTGCGTCGCCAAGTCCAGAGGCTAAGGCCCCTTAGGTAGGCGGACGGATTACCTCAAGGTATCGACACGAGCGAGAAGAAAAGAGCCGCATTCTGCGTCGACACGTCTCTCGGGAGGGACCCTATCTGCTGCCCGCCCTCAGTTGCACCACTCCCGTCGCACGTAGCAGCCCTTGCCTCCACGGTGCGGCGTTGCAGACGTGGACGACGTCCCCACGCACCCGCACCGCACTCTAGGTCCTTCCGTCTCGCTGTCGGTGTCGGCGCACCACGCAGCACGACCACCACCACGCAACCCCGAGCCTCGTCGCTCTTTCCTCGTGTGGTTGCGTCCATGGTCCTTTCCACTTGAACCAAGAGCTGCTTTTATTTCTTTCTTGTTTTGTCTTCTCCAACAACTCGGCTACCTTTTCCCGCCTTCCTCCGCCCCGAATCCAGTCTCTCCGACGTCGCATCCGCAAACCTTCATGAGGCTGTCACCGAAGGCGCCTCTGCGATACTCTTCCTTCGCCCACGAACCATGACCTCCATCCAGAGGCATGAGCTCCAGGCTCTGGTCAAGCTGGTCAACAGCAACCAGTTGCTTAATCGTCAACTTTCCAGCATCTGCCAGCTCAACGGTCTCACTAGCAGCGGGGTTAAGGCGTCGCTGCAGAGTCGCATCGTTAATGGTCAGTCGCATTCATCCCCCTCCCGATATGCCTCCGCCACCAACACCCTGCGTCTTGCGCCATTCTCCTTGCCGCTGCCAGGCTCCCAAGTCATTCATGTCCACGGCTCTTCTAAGATTGCCCAGGCAGCTTCTCCCACGAGGAAACTTCTCGCTGACTTGATGACATCCAGCTATCCAAGAGGCCTTCAACAACAACGATGCTACACGCTTTCAGCAAATTCAACGGAGCATCGAGACCACGCGAACCGGGGCTTCCTCTTCTCCTGCATCCCATAAATCCGCACGTCCTTCCGCGCCCGCACAACCCGTCGTGATGCGATCAGACCCATACTGGAACCAGCGCAGTAATGGCCGTCCCACGGGGCTGAATGGCCACTCGATGCACAGCTTTGGGGCCACAATCGGTATGCAGGATGTTCTCGTATGCTGTGTCCGACAACAGCTAATTGCGCCTAGGCCCAAGATTCAAGGATACTCCCTTCTATGCAATCCAGCACCGGGTCGGCGACGTTAAGGTCTGCGAGAGTAAGATACCGAGTCTGATTCCAACGCTTGTTACCTCCCGCTGACTCCCCTAGCTATGAGCCAACACAGAAACATGGTTTCCGTCCCGGTCAAGTTGAGCGATTGCCCAGGAGTGAACAAAGTTCTCGAGGACAAGTCATACCGTGTGATGGTGTTTTGCGCCGACAGCAATAGCAACAGTGAGCTCCAGAACATTACCTTTCCTCATCAGTCGGAGATCAAGGTCAACGGAAACGAGGTCAAGGCCAACTTGAGAGGCTTGAAGAACAAGCCGGGGTCAACGCGACCGGTGGACGTCACGAGCTATCTACGTCTCAAAAATGACAACCGGAATCTCGTCGAGTTCACCTACGCCTTGACACAGAAGGTGAGTGTAGGAAACATGAATACGCCCCGGTCATCATGCCCCGTACTCACGGGCTTGAACAGAAATTTTTCCTCGTCCTTTACGTTTGCAAGATCACGTCGGCTCAAGAGCTCGCTGAGCGGATCAAAACTGGGAAGAAGATTCCTAAGCAGTCGGTCATCCAGGAAAGTAGGTACTCCGAACGAGATTCGCATCTGACAACAGCTCATTAATCATGTTTCAGTCAGCAGCAAGAAGGCAGCAGATACGGACATCGTCACAACATCGCAAGTATTGTCTCTGAAATGCCCACTATCTTACATGCGGCTCGACGTTCCGTGTCGCTCTACATTCTGCTCGCATATCCAGTGCTTCGATGCTACTTCATACCTTCAGTTGCAGGAGCAAGGCCCTCAATGGCTGTGTCCTATCTGCAACAAGTCCGCACCGTTCGATCAACTTGCGGTCGACGAGTAGGTGTCTTTTGTGTGAGCTGGCGAGCTATCGACTAATATTCACATAGATACGTCAAGGAGATTTTGGCCAATACGTCCAAGTCATTGGATCAAGTCACGATCGAGCCTGATGGACAATGGCGGGTCAATTCGTCGCAAGACGATCAGTCTGCCAACGGTGGGAACGGCTCCGTTGATGACGATGACGATGACGACTTCATCATCTCGGAAGTCAGCGTCATTCGTGGTCGCAACCTCGAGACGCCCGTTCGATCAGTTGCTAGTACGGCGACACCGACCACAACCATCATGTCGCGCGAAAGCTCAACGATGCCTCGGGGTCTCGGCTCCACGAGTGCGAAAAGGCCTCACTCCGATAGGGTGACAATAGATCTCACGCTTTCTGATGATGACGAACCCCTCCAACCACCCCCAAAGCGGCAGCAGCTTCAACCACCGACGGCGAACAATTACAGCAACAGCTACAATGGCCAGCTGTTCTGAGGCATGTTCCTCCGCTCCTTGTCTCTTACACTCAATCTTTTGAAGTGGAGCCTTGGGTTGTTGGGTCAAGGCACGTACATATATCCTAATGCGTCCTCATGTGTGTGTATTTTACAGTTTGGCGTGAGAAGGAACGGAAGGATAGCTGCACAGGCGTTCAGGAGGAAAAACATATCCCATCCATCAAAGTCTAGTCTAAACAGCACGAAAGAAATGAATGATTGCCTGCGAATGCACATGGTCCAGCAAGCGCTTCGCGGTCACCTACGGCGAGCTTTCTCGGCCGGAGTATCTCCGTCGGTGTTTGCGAATTTTATCAAACTAGAATCTTCCTGAAGTTGGTTTCTGTGTCTCACGGCGATAACAATTTGACTCTTTATCCAGGAGTTGGTTGGACCGTGTGCATGATGGTGGAAGAAGGGATGGACTGAAGCTCCACTGCGCCCTTGTCAGAAGTACGTACCTTCGACTGCCTTTCCCGAAGGTAAGGTGCCGTCGCCCGTCTGTCCTCACCTTCAGCTAGATACCTACCTACCTCTCACATTTACCATCATATTCCCCTCACGCTCAAGACCGATAAACGGCCGGCACCGGCAGCTACAGTACCCAGACTACGAAACAGTAAGGCCAATCGGGACAGAAACGCCAAAAAAACGCCGAGAATCTTCCTTCCATTTCGTTGGATGCGCTCGCCCTACGTCGCAATCGGTCTCAACCGACCCTACACGGAACGAAACAGCGGCCACACCAGTCGGAAAGAAGACAGCAGCACGAGAACATCACCAGACCACAGTCGCGATCATGTCGTTCGAAAGCGTAATGCCCCCGTACAACGCCTCGGATCCGACGGCTTCCTTCCTCAACTCTTCCTGCCTCGACTTTCTCCTCATCGAGCTCGTGCCGATGGCGTTCCGCGTAACGAGGCAGCTCGACATAGCTCCAGCAGAGGGCTCATCGGCCGGCGGAGACGGGGCGTCCTCCGGGAGTCACAGCCATGCCGCAGCAGACGCGGCGCTGTCAAGCGCAAGCGGGGCCGTCACTGCAGGCAGCGCGCGGAAGATGGACGAAGATGAGGAGAGGGACGCCGTGTTCTACCGTCTCGAGACATTGGGATATCGTGTTGGCCAGGGACTTGTAGAGAGGTATGTCTTCTCCGCCCTCCCCTCCCCGATGTTGTTGGTCAGTGTCAATTAGAGACTAACGGGTCGGGCGCTGGGATAGGTTTTCGAGAGACAGGCCACACTTCAACGATACGCTAGACGTCATCAAGTTCGTTTGCAAGGATCTGTGGTCGCTGGTGTTCCGGAAACAAGTCGACAATCTAAAGACTAACCACAGGGTGGGTGGTCTCGTCCATCTCTGGAGACAGTTCACGGCCGGTTTGCTAACTCGAGGCTCTCTGTGTAGGGCGTCTACGTGTTAACGGACAACTCGTTCAAGCCGTTTTCAAGAATGAGCACCGAGACCGGGGGTCAGGCCGTCGTACGGGCACAACCGGTAAGTCGGACATGGCGTTGTGGAGTTCGTGGTAGTCAAGCTGACTTTGCTGTACCAATAGTTCCTATGGTTCCCCTGCGGAATCGTCCGCGGAGCCCTCGCAGCCTTGGGGATCAATGCCACAGTTCAAGCTGAGACGAATGAACTGCCGGCTGCCATCTTTCAAATCAAGACGCTACCTTCGAGCACATAACCTCTATGAAACCATGCGTAGTGCAATACTTGATGATTGGATTCGGAGGAGACGGGTACGCAAGTCCGTCAAAAGTACGATCATGTCGAGTAGATTCAATGGTGTCCTACTCCACATACAGAAAGTTCTTCACTAGAAGCAAACGGGATTATCGACCGGTTGCCATATCCAAAATACCCAGACACCCCCGCCCCCAAAGCCACGGAATCACGATATCAGTTGACGTAGTAAGCCGATCAGCTACACACACTCGCGGTCATCAGCCACCTTACAGCCTAGGGAAGAGAAAAATCAATCAGCCATTAATTCTCCCTCGCGGTTGTATTTCATCTATCACCGTTTTGGCTACGTTTGTTGGAAGGCGTTCAATAGGCTTCCTTGAGCGGGGGGAACGGGGGCTGTTGCTGCAAATGTACAATTGGGGGTATTCACTTTTGAGGGGGGTTGTGGGCAAAGTCGACACCCTTCTGAATGTTGCCCTTCAAGCCCTTAACAGCGGCCTCCAGCAGCGTCTTCTCCTTGTCCGTAATGTTTCCGAGGATGTCGACAGCCTTCTCAGCACCGTTGGGCTACTCGGCGTCAGCATCGACTGGGTCTTCATGGAGGATTGGAACTTACACCAAGCTCAATGGGGACGGAGAAGAAGTCAGTGCCGGTCTTGGCGGCAATCTCCTTGCCACCAGGAACACCGGGCAAGTAGACGTAGCTAGGCTCAACGAGACCCTTCTCGCCCTTGACGGCCTTGAGTACCTTCTCGGCAAATCTACTTCAGTTAGCCACACGCACTCTCGCACAAGACAATCCATGTTCCGAGTAGCTTGAATCTTACCTGAAGCCAGCGTAGGCCATGGAGAGGGTAGCGGAACCAGCACCATCCTTGGCCTTGACGACCTCATCGCCACCGAACTGGACGCGGTTGACGAGGGCATCGTACTTGTCGTCGGGAATGGTGACGGAAGGCGTGACTTGGCTGAAAAGGGGAACAATGGTCTCGCCGGAGTGGCCGCCGATGACGGGGACGGTCAGCTCGTGAGGCTTCGCCTTGCCGGCAATCTCGGCAACGAAGGTCTCGGCTCTGACAATGTCGAGGGTGGTGACACCGAAAAGGCGCTGAGGGTTGAAGACACCCTTAGCCTTGAGGACCTCGGCGGAAATAGGAACGGTGGAGTTGACGGGGTTGGAGATGACGAGGATGAAGGCCTTGGGGGCAACCTCGGCCGCGATCTCGATCAGGCCCTTGACGATGCCGGCGTTGATGTTGAACAAGTCATCACGAGTCATGCCGGGCTTGCCTGCAAGGAGCTTTGATTAGACAACTGCAGCATATAACGAGCATCGCGGTTTGGACAGACTTACGGGGAATACCAGCGGGGATGACAATGATGTCGGCATCCTTGAAGGCGGCCTTCGCGCCGTCGTCCTTGGGCAGGTAGCCAGCGATCTTCTGTTTGCGAGGGAGTCTATTTAGCATGCGATGGCCATGATGGCATTGGGCATTACACCATCGAATTTGACTAGACATACCGCTTGTGAAGAGATGTGAGAAAGGTCGGCGGCAACACCGGGGGTGTTGACGACATCGTAGAGGGCAAGCTCGTCAACGAGGGGAGAGAGCTTAAGGAGGAGGGACAGAGGCTGCGGAAGAGAGACTTGGTAAGCCCATGCGCAGCTTTGATTTGTGCCCAGAGGCGGGGGTCTGGCGTCACTTTACCTGTCCAATACCGCCGGAGGCGCCAGCAACAACTGAAAAAGCAATTAGAGATGACGGGGCGAGAGATGCTGTCTCGGATGAAGCGTACCAGCCTTGACCATCTTGAATGTGTTCGTTTGTTTCGATCTGGGGATGCAAGAGGGGAAGGTGGTGGTGTCCTGAAGGGTTCTCGCGGATTAGCGGGGTGATCTCATGTAGCTCAGGAGCTTGCTCGGCAACCCCTCAAGCTCCAGCGGGGTCACATTGGAGCTGTGGCTGTAAGCTTGAGGGAGAGGGGTAGGTTGCCATCGTCAGACTGACTTTCACTCACGCGGCAGTTGCTTGAAGAGGCTCAAGATAGGATGGACGGACAGGATAAGACGAGAGGTTTTGTTGTTTGAGTACGAGGAGAGAATAAGTAGGAAGAAGGGGATGCGGAAGGCTTGAAGTACTAGCAGTCAGAGCAGCCAGATGATACCTAGTCCGGAGGCTGTCGGCGGGGACGTAGGTTCAACCGCGGGGAGAATTGCGACCTTCTCCCACCGCATCCCCGTCCACGTATGAGACCACCATCGTCATTGGATGGAGGGGCAAAAAGAGGGGCAACTTTGGGGGGGTAGCAGCGCAGCGCCAGTGATGCGCAGAATACCTTTAGGTACGCATGGTATGGTATGGTACGGTACAGCTAAGGTAGACGGGCGGGCAGTGCAGTCGATGAACAGAGAGCCGCCGCACCCAGCAAGATCCCGTGCGAGTCCTGCGCGCTGTGTGTCTCGGGACCTGGGCATGCGAGGTAACAAAGAGCTTGTACACTGCCGCAAATCTACCACCCAGAAATAGGCGAGCCGGCTGTCGCAGATACCTAAACAAAGACGTCGTGGCTTGGTGCCGCTGCTGCGACAAAACCCCCCCAGTGAGACAACCTACCTAGCCCGGCCAAGCAGGAGGAGCCATTCCCCTCCACCAAAAACAGCTTTCCTATGCTGGGGGGAATTCGGCAGCAAGGCAGAGAAAGCCAGATGCAACACCCACACCCCCGCCAATCAACCGCTCGTCAGGCACCTCCCTCCTACCAGCCGTCCGCCCTGTCTGGTGCATGTGAGAGCGGCATGCATCGAGAGAAGCTGGAGCCGTCCGTCCCCGTCAACTCCCGGAATTCAGCCAATGCTTTCCGATGACTTCCTGCTTATGGCGGTTTGACGGTCCCGACACAGGGGAAGCTGTCCTATGTATAGCCAAAACTCGGGTGGGGGAGAAACAAGCGTCCCCATCGCCGGTTCCAATGTTTCCAAGCACCTCCAGACCCAAACAGCTCCGTGTCCAGGCAGGTCCGGTCCCTAGTTATTGAAGGTGTTACTTCCATTGCATCATTTGACGACCAAGAATGTTGAGACAGACTCGAGCTCGAGACCTTGCATTTGGACATGACTGGCCGTGGAGCAGTTTACCATAGAATAACTAAAACCGCATTCGCTATTAATATCCGTTGGCGGCTTCAGGTAATTATTACCTATTTTGCAGACCGCGGGGTTCCTAACTACGTCCACAAGTACGTACCGTGGACCCCCAACATGTCATGAATCCTTGAGAAACGGGATCCCGTGCGCCAAGGTCAAAGTCGGCGAAGACTTACTCCGGTGATTTTCCTAGCTCCAGTGTAGATGCCGTATCTCATCCGCAATCCACCACGAACTCACGAGCCGGGCATTTTGTCGTCACTGGAATCGGCGACGAAAGCCGAAGAACCCGCCAACTTTCCGGCGTATGCCCGTTATCCCGAGGTTGAGCTGTGAACCACTCCCTCATGTTGTCGGGCAACGCCGGGTGACGACCGATAGACCGGACTCACAATCATCCAAGCCAGCGGCCAAGCTGTCGCCAGCCTCCCTTATGCACTCACTCTGACGTCTTTCGTAACCGCGGTCCGTCCACCATTAGCTAGATCATTACCGACTCCCCCTCTGGGACAGACAACTCCACATGCGCACGACTGTCGTTCACGATCCACGACCATCACCATCGTTGGACAGAATTTGTTGGAGCAATTGCAACCCAGTCCAGTCATTATTTTGGCCTTGACTCAAGCTTTTGATTTGTTCGCTCGTGTCTTCAGAGGTAATCTATTTGCTCGACATAACGCCCAAACAAAGTCGTTTCCGTCCACTCAAACAAGCAATTTATGCCTCAGTCTTCTCGGCGGCCTTCTTGGCCTTGACGCCACGGGGCTTCTTCTCAGCGGCCTCGGGCTTGACGGGCTTCTGGGCGCGGCGGATGGCAGAGACGCGCTGAACGGCGGCCTCACGGAGATCGGCACGGTAGCCACCGTTGGCGGCCTGGAGGGCGACGGCCTTGTAGGTCCTGTAGGTCACACCGTCAATACCTTCAACTTCCTATGCAGCTTCCATCCGGAGCCGTGTCGCTGAGGTTCAGAAAACACTCACTTGCGCGCCGACTTGTTGCCGCCGTAGGTGACCTCAGTGGTGCCCTGGGCAGGCTTGTTGGCGTTCTTCTGGTTCTTGCTGATGACCTTGACACCACCCTTCTCGTTGGGGACAACGCCGATCGCCTGCGTCGCAATTACTGTCAGTCAATGTATTCCTCGATCGACCAATCCATAATCGTCGCCGCATCGTTCTCGTTTTGGGAATTCGGTGCTTCGATTACAGCGGGGAAGTGTGTACCTTGTCGTTGACGAAACCAGCGTACTGCACCGTGTGTTAGCCAAATACCGCCCACAACAAAGCCTACCACGGAGATAATATGACGTACCTTGCGAGAGTGCTTGTTCACCAGGTTAAGGGGGTCGCGGGACAGCTGGAGGCCGCCAGCGTCGTTGCGGTTGACCAGGTAGGCATTCTGGTTGCCTGTACATCGCCAACGCGACGAAAATGGTGAGCAAAATGCT